AGGGGGCCTGCCGAGAGAGCACGACAGAGCTGAGCCTAAACGAAGTCCGTGTCACCTTTCGATGCCACTGTTCAAACCAGGATCAACCAGTGCAACTCCCACCAGCTCAGGGTTCCTGATCATGGAACCGGGTTTGAAAGAGGTCTGTGAGCTAATTGGCGGCATCGGTTAAGCTGCATTCAAAAGGAAGAGCTGCCTGGTGCTGTGTAGTCTGAGAGCTCATTGTTTAGACACATGTCTGTTCAGACAATACCAGCTGTGTGTCAGCTTCTAATATTTACAGTGCTTCAAGCCTGATTGTGTTTCAGACAGTACAGGCACTGCAAAGGCAGGCAGAACATGATACGGAGCAGGAAACGGGGGAGGAATATGCATTTATTGTCATTGCTTTTATTTGTCTGTAATTTTTTCCCGATCTGCTTCCAGTTCTCTTGACACCATGATAGATAGCTCAGCAGCACTGAACCCGTCGACTTGAAAGCCAACATTGAGCAAGTTCTTGTGTTGATGATTATACCGCGTGGAAGGGTATGATGTATTACAAGAAGCTGCGTGAGTCAGAGATCAGAGAAAAAATCATTTAAAAAAAAAAAAAGAAGGCCGTAAAAGAGAAGCCAAATTGTTTTGCGTGGCGTGCTGTATTACAGCCCATTTGTGAGACTGAGACCGCGGTGTGCACGCCACAGACCTGGCTGACAAGGCCCTGTCCTCCCGCGTGTCTGTTTCGGCTCATCCCAGCTGGGGCAGGAGCGCTCCCCTTCTCCGCCGTGCTTCTTCAGTGCTCTGCTGAAGGATGAGAAAGATCAAGCCTTTGCAGATGTGGAAATGGCGCTGCCATTGGTGGATTCTTGCCCCTCAAAGCCAGCGTTATTCCTGGGCTTAGTGTGAATGCTAGGAGCACAGGAGCAGCGGTCCGTGGTGTGGGGAGAACAGCCCAGGGAGATCAAGGAAAAAGATAAAGGAAGATTTTAGTCTGACACGGTCCAACCACTTTAGACCAGTCTGTTTCATATACATGTTTTTTTCCGTCTAGTAACATGGTTGCTAGAGAACTAACCAACACCCTCCTCCATAGTTGTGAGTTATGAGCTGCTTCAGGTGTTGTGCATCACAGGATCTGATCTGATCTAGCTCAGGTCTGTGTCTGTTTCCTGTTTTGAGTGTACCTCCGAGGTGTGTGAAGATAAGGCAGCGTTGCTTCTTTGTCACATCCGTTGATGTGCGCTGGGCCCCCGTCCTCTGGATGTTGCGCGACTCCTGTCTCCTCGGGGATGCGGGAGCGAAGTAGGTTGAAGGGAGCGAGTCTGTCAGATCTGTTTCTCGCAGAGTCCTCTCCTTGTCACTCCGCGCGGAGATGCGTGTTAGCACGCCGCCGCTGAAATATTTATAAGGAGCTGCAAATGTGGGAGGAAGCATCAAATTTTTATAACATCTCACTGCCAGGCTTTGAATTTGTTCCAAGTTTGGTCTGCTGCCATTCCATTGCAGATTCCCATCGTTTCTCCCCCCCCATGTTATTCCTTGCGGCTCTGGGCTCAATTACTTCTTGATGCAAGTTAAAGTGACTTACCCTGTTTGTAAGAGCAGGGGTGTTAATCCTGGTGTTCTAGCTATATTTCACTTCAGGCTCGAGCAGTTTGGCCTGCCTGAAGTTCTCCCTTAATTATACTGAGACAATTTCAGCTGCTCTGTGTCTCCCAGGTGGGGCTACTGGTGCAGACCGGCTGCTGTGTGTCTCCCAGCTTGGGCTGCCGGTTCAGAATGGCCTCTGTGTGTCTCCCAGGGGGGGCTGCTGGTTCAGAACGGCCGCTGTGTGTCTCCCAGGGGGGGCTGCTGGTTCAGAACGGCTGCTGTGTGTCTCCCAGGTGGGGCTGCTGGTTCAGAATGGTCACTGTGTCTCCCAGGTGGGGCTGCCGGTTCAGGATGGCCTCTGTGTGTCTCCCAGGTGGGGCTGCTGGTTCAGAATGGCCTCTGTGTCTCCCAGGTGTTGGTGTTCTTTCATGTGTGTCTGAAAATCAAGGAGTGTCTTAACTTGTACACGAAGGCTGCTTGATTACACCTGTGTGAATATGAATAGGAAGAGATTGAGATGTATGAGACTGTGTATTAGGATCAGTGTTGGAATCCAGCTCCTGTCCATTTTGCTGCACCATGAGGTAACAAAGTATCTCTAGGGTATCTCAAAATCAGCTCGCTGAACTCTTGGGTTTCCCTTCAGAAGAGAAAATTAAGGAATGCAAGCTCGTTCTGTTTTAGTGAAGTTCTGTTTTTTTACTCTTGGTGTTGAGAAACCTGCTTTGTAAAGAAGAGCTGTTTTTTAGTCAATTCTTTTAGCCATTCCTGTGATAAAGGAATTTTCTCATTGTGTCTGGTAACAAATATGTGCTGGCAGTTCAGATATGAATCACTGTAAATCTGCTGATGTAGGGGAAGAGTTTGTTTTTAGGGAAGTCTAAAATGGTTGTGGTGATATGATAAAGTCTGGT